CATTAAGATAGTCGGATATGTCCCTGTCTATCGCATGCTCACCAGATCCCAATGAATAAAAGTGATGGTAAAAATCTTCTACATTTAAATCCCCATTTAAATTTTGTTTACGCTTCCTAAACGTTTTGTAAAATGTTCGCGGGTTGTATTTTCTTAAATAATTTAACATGTCTCCTTGCTGACATTTATACTCTCTTTTTAACTTATATTCAAGTTTCTTATACATTTTTTTTTATTTACTAGTAATTCTCTGTTCACATTAGATTTACAAACATTAAAAGTATACAGTGCATATTTATAATCTCTATAGCGTTGTTTACAGGGATCCGTAAACCATGGCTTATCTCCCTTGATAACCTTAGTCTGCTTACCTGTGCCTTTATGTATGATTGTTTGGGTACAATAAGCAACAATTAACTCATTTAAAATACTTGTAAAATTGTTAGCACATGCATCAATTCCGTCTTGGTCCCATTCAGTAGTATCACATGACTGTATTAGCCTATCAATGTTTTCTAGCAATAACTCACAATTTCTACTATTATTTTCTTCATTCCATCTTATACTTGTTTGTCTCTTGTCATTTAAATTGTTACTTTGTTTTTCATTTTCAACTCCTTTACAATTATTACACAATGAAAAAGTAACCGGTGCGTGATCAGAAAAGGGACTAAACTCACCTGTCTTCAATGTTTTGATAAAATCAACCTTATCGTCTTGAACTAAAACGTAATCAATAAGACTAGTTCCATTTCTATTATAGAATGTTATATCTCCCTTAGGATCACCAGGATGTCTACCATTAACAATTCTAAGACCGGTTGATTTACAAACATCTAATAATTGTCTACCAAACTGATTTACATGTTTATCTACGTTAAAACGTTTGGGCATCTTCACGTCTGGTATATAATTAAAAATATTTGATAACATATCAGCAGAAAATTCTCCTATTCGATCAAATCTAATAAAATCATCAGCCTCACCAGTTCTACTATTAAAATCACCCATGACAACGATATCACCATGTGTATGGTATTTAGATGCACATTCTTCTAGACATATAAATGGATCTATATCATTTTTTTCATAAAAAGTGCTGTTTATCGGTGGGAAGTAACATGCAAATATATAAGTATCATGTTTAGTCTCAATTTCGCCAATGCATTTCAAATTCAAAATCACAATGCAATCTAAAATATTTTCAACAAATGTACAAATTTCACTCAATCCATCTTTAACATAAATTATAATCCCACCCCCTTTGGCATTGATACGAGGAAATGAATATATACAATAACCAGGCAGTGATATATCATCGTCTGGTTTAACCCAGCACTCATATAGACAAATTATATCATAGATATTTACACTTTCAACAAATTTCGGGTCTTCAAGTTTGTCACATACTGACCTACAAATGTTCCATGACATAATTGTCACACTCTCCTGTCTGTCCTATGTACATTGACCGCTCTCACCCGGTTTACCTTTACTGAAAGGAGGTTTTCCAGAAGAAACCTCAACAGGCTGTGGTTCCTTGACCGACAACTGCCCACCACAGACGGAAGTAATACAGGGTGCGCTTCCGCTGCTAACTGACTCGGTGAATGGCACTTCTGTGGTGCTAGTTATTTGCCCAGTGACAACATTGTCGGGCCTCCGTTCCTCGACTGACAGCTGACCCCCACTGCCAGGAGTACTAGGAGGCTCGCTTTCCCTACCCAAAAAAGTAGCTAACCCATCACCTATATGTGGTTGCTTAGCGACAGCACCAGTGGGCCTCCTTTCCTCGACTGACAGCTGACCCCCACTGCCAGGAGTACTAGGAGGCTCGCTTTCCCTACCCAAAAAAGTAGCTAACCCATCACCTATGTGTGGTTGCTTAGCGACAACACCAGTTGGCCTCCTTTCCTCGACTGACAGCTGACCACAACTGCCAGGAGTACTAGGAGGCACACTTAACCATTTCTCAAACTGGCCACTGACCATCCCCCGTGGAACCATATTGATGGGACTCCGTTCCTCGACCGACAGCTGACCACCACTGCCAGGAGACTAGGAGACACACTTAGCCATTGATCTAACTTGCCACTGACCATCTTCAGTGGAACCATATCGGCAGGCCTCCGTTCCTCGACTGACAGCTGACCTCACTGCCAGTAGTACTAGGAGGCTCGCTTTCCCTACCCAAAAAAGTAGCTAACCCATCACCTATATGTGGTTGCTTAGCGACAGCACCAGTGGGCCTCCTTTCCTCGACTGACAGCTGACCCCTACTGCCAGGAGTACTAGGAGGCTCGCTTTCCCTACCCAAAACAGTAGCTAACCCATCACCTATATGTGGTTGCTTAGCGACAGCACCAGTGGGCCTCCTTTCCTCGACTGACAGCTGACCCCCACTGCCAGGAGAACTAGGAGGCACACTTAACCATTTCTCATGCTGGCCACTGACCATCCCCCGTGGAACCATATTGATGGGACTCCGTTCTTCGACCGACAGCTGACCACCACTGCCAGGAGACTAGGAGACACACTTAGCCATTGATCTAACTTGCCACTGACCATCTTCAGTGGAACCATATCGACAGGCATCCGTTCCTCGACTGACAGCTGACCACCACTGCCAGGAGTACTAGGAGGCACACATGAATAGACATTGTTCCTTCCTTCACAGCACAATTGTTAGGGAGTGAATACTCACAACCTTGCTGTCCTCTCCAACAGACGGCACCACCTACCGCCTAATTAGATATAACGTATTTTGAAATTTAATTTGGGACCATATAATTTCATCGCTACCAATTTCAAGATCGTTTCTCCGCTTGGCTACGAGTGATTCAGAAAATAATCAGCAACCCCACCACCAAACATGTTTCTATCGTTACGAAATGGTTTGGAGAAACCATCAATTTTAAGTTCAGAATTTGGAACAGAATTATCAAGATGGGTTTCAGTAAAGCATAAAATATCAACATCATCTATTAAGGAACAAATATAGTTTACTTTGTTACGCAGACTGCGTGGTTGATCTATGTTGATACAATGAATATTTCAAAATATGTTATTGAAATAATATCTTAGCGTGTGTGATCATTTGCTTAACGTTTAAATAACAGTATTCCCTCCAGAGACTAACACCTTTTGTTAAATCGTAAATTATCGTTACTTCTTTTCGGTATCATTCTAGAGAAAACGCTTTCGTTTTTTTATCATAACATAATTGAAAAGTTTTATCATTTTTTCTTTTCTTTTAATTTTTTTTTTTTAAATAATCCTTTCTTGATAATTAAAAATGCTATTCTAACAGCGTTTTTCTCAATCTTTACCTATCATTTTTAGGTCACCTTTAATACAGTCTTAAATAATTACCTGCTTTTGTTCTGTTTGATTTCTTTTTTCCATTAAATTTTTTTTAACTGAATTTGTAGACTTGTAAATCTTTACTAGGCGGATTTAAATCTATAAGATGTGATATTAGCAGGGGCATGTATTAATTTTACACGTGTTAAAAGGTACAATTAAAATAAATTTATTTATGCAAGTAGAAATAAACTCGACGCTGAAATCAGTCAATATTACCAATTTAAATAACGTTTTTATTTTGTTCACTTTTTCACAAAAATCATTTCCAAACTGTTAAAAACATTGACAGGATGCTTTAGAACCAACTAGTCTTTGTATCTATGATGAAAAGTTCTTACTGTGGAAATCAGACTAACAATACGCACATTTACTATGTAACGTCATTGATTTCAAAGAAGTTTATATTTAGTTTATTGATATAGGTATTACGATCAAAGAACACGCCTCAACACAAATCAACAGCCATGATATAGTTATCGATATAATTAGTCCTGCCACGGACGTAATGGAAATCCGTGCCCCTGTGCATTGTGTTTATGGCAAAGTGAAACATCATACAATGTCTAAGTAAAATTCATTTATGAAATATTGCAACAAGATCGAAATCGTTGCACTTGTCTGAAATAATTATCAATCGATGTTTTTCAGTGATTTAAGCTGATTTTCGGGAAACATTTTTTTTGGAGGCCTGTGCGATATGTACTAGTTTACAATTTAGAGTATTTAAGATTTCAGTTTTCCGTCAAACTTGGGCGGTATAACACGACTATCAAAAGCACATAACTGACATAGCGCTTAGAAAGGTCCATCTCTGGCGCACGTGCATAATATCACGTATTTATATAACGTCATAGAAAGGTAGACTATAGATTAAAACTGATTGCGTCGACATTTACTAAATCCATTGTCATGACTACATATAGGGAAATCGGTACAGGGGATATTTTTTTTTATTGATCTCCACCTTTTAGTACTTGTTTGTTTTCCTGTTAAAGTAATGAATCCATTTCCGGATTGATACACAAAACAAACGACCGTTTTAATTAATATTTATACACGTCGAACTAATAGAAAAAAAGTCTTTGATGTTCTCGTGAATGAATTCGATCAAATGTGATTGTTTATTAAAAGATTTCCGACAGATTTTCTGATTACATCTTCATGTGCAATAAATTTAAACATTAAATTATTGTATTTGCTAACCCATTCAAAATAAGAAGACTTGAAAAAAAAGTAAGTTGCTTTAATAATAAATTAAAGTCTTAAATAACAGCAGGTAATATCAATTAACCCGCTTGAAACAGGTGCTACTGTTAAACATTTCATGTGACGTGCTAAGCAAGATTTTAATCATTCTGGCTATTGTGGCCATTTACGCCTAATTTACTTTGTGTACAGAAATGCATTGAAACTTTTACAATCGATCTCGTTTTATCGCTCTATCGTAATAGTTTGTACACTACGTAACCTCTGTGCAATTTCATTCACAAAATTAGTCCAAGTCAATAAAATGTTTGTAACAGTTAGAGCAGACTCACTCCAACACAAACATATTTACGATGCCGATCGAGTACTGGCGCTTTTTGCATTAGTCGATAGATGTCGCGGCAGTAGGTGTTGTGACGTTTCACTTCCTTATACGGAAATGTGTCAATTACATGCAAAGCAAAACAATATTATAGTGGATTCGCGATGCAAACAAGGTCGATGGTATTATCTTCTTCGTGCTAAATATATACAAAATGCACTGATTTGTTGATCTTTTTACAATACAACTCTTATTGGATTAATGTGTGGCTTGTGTATAAGGATTGTTTATTTGAGGCATTGGAGATATTTTAAAGTATTTTTTCCGTGAGTGGATCAATTCCGAAGGAGGTGAGTAGGGAGAGTTTATTGACATTCTGCCTCGATATTTGTAACCGATCGACATTTGTTTTGCCAATAAATGTTATTCGCTTAATAGATGAAAGCAATCACTCTTATGTCAATGCTGAATTTAATTTATTTCCACGCAACATAAGATAACTGTCAGTGTTAGAGAAGCGATGATCAGTTGGTTTTTTGGAAGAATGCCCACGACCTTAGATTGACCAAAACTGCGACCACTAACGGATCACATGTGTACACTCACAAAGCATGCATCCTCTGGTAACTCGCGTTGTCACTTCTGACGAACATAGTTACAATTGGACCAGTGGGTTGTGGATGTGACCAAACACACGTGTAGCACTGCAATGAGGTTATGATGCCGTGTGATGGAGTTCTGCGTGATAACATTGTACACGGTTTATTCGAGGTCGCCATTTTTTTTCTTTTGTAGGAGATCATATCTGGGTCACGTTGATACGGGCTCGCAGTGAGTGAGAGGAGACGTTGGTCTAGTGCTGGACTTGATTGCCAATGACTTTAAGGAATCCCGATGTGACGGGATTAGATCTTGCTCAGTATGCTGTATATTTTGCTTGTTGTTTTTGGATTATGTAGCGGCTTGGGTCTGCAAAGGACTGCCGAGAATGGTAAGTTCATCATCAACACACATAAACAACGAGAGGTGATAGAGGTTGCCGTGTACATATCTTAAAACGTTAATCAACCTTCTACGCATGTAGCATGAACATGTGTATACATAATTGTTTGAATGAAGTACGCCGGGCTACACAATGTAGCGGTATGCATACAAAGAGTGACCTCGTGAGGTCAGGCTGACGGTAGAAATGCCGTTAGGGTCAAGGCAATCGGAGAAACTATTTAAAAGGTCGAAATTGTTTGAGTATCGGATGAGATGTAACATAAAATGTGTAAACAATTTGTACTGTATATAAAACACTGTTGACAAACATTGTAAACATAATAAATATAGCTGTTTTTCACATCTGTTGAATTATAAAGTTCTAATTAATTATTATAAGATGTAATTTGATAATCTTATTATGTGTTACAGAAATCTGATTTGATATATTTGATTTATGATAGAAATTCAATTTAATATGGTTTTAATGTATTACAGAGATATGAAAATATCCAAATTGATACATTAATGGTACGAAAGAGATCTATAGAGATCAGATTTTTTTGATGTTTAACTTATATTTAATATTAATATATTTAACACTGCAACATTGTTATGATATAACTAATGTATTTGATTTTATTGTTTAAACCTTGTTTTGTACATGTATTCAGATGTAATTTCAATGTAAATAAAACTATTTAATAAGACTGAAATTAGTCAGCTCCTGTACTCCCTACTCATTGTTTATAGTGGTATTTAAATTATAGTGATTTGTAAGAATTGTGAGTAAACAACATTGGATACACTAAAAAGGTAGCAAGTAATACGGCTACCACAGAAGAGGTACTGATAATGCATCAACCATGTCTGATAAAAATCTGTAAGATGCACCTAGCTACCTTGTGCCTCTACAGATAGAAATGGAGGAATTCACAGTGTCTCTAACTCAGCATTTACTGTAGTTTCACTGCTGGTCTGAAATCTAACCGGACCCTTTTTTTTTTTTATCTTAGTTAAGTACAAATATAATATTGATGTTCCTTTTAATCCAAAATTTCAAACAGGATTATTAGGTACTGAACATTTTGAAAATATTGAAATCAGATGCAATTACAACGTTAAATATATTATATGAAAAACTAATTTGAACTACAGCTGTGACAGATGTACATACAATACAATAAACTTTATTTAACGTCGGATATATTTTAAAAACATTTAACATTAGCTATTAAAAGCTATTATTCGGGCAAACATAAGTAAAAAGCATCAATTCAAGAAATTACATATATAAAACATTATGAAACAGAAAGTGTTAAAACATAAGTCTCCATGCAAAATTTTAAGCTAAATATATATACATGCATATATATAGCAGGACAGTAATTTTTACCAGAAATACATATAAGCATAAAACATTGAAGCAAAGCACATACACTTAAAAACAGACATTATGAACTACAATTTACATAGTAACAAAATTAATATTAAATGAATAAAATAATAAGAGCAAACATTCGCACAAATCCGAAGAAGCAGCATAAAATGCACGCATAACTAAACATGAAGCAAAGCGGACTAGCCACATGCACTACACACATGTGCTCTATATGTCACAGCACTGTAACAAAGTTACATCTGATGACTCTTTGTGATTACAACTTCATCATTATTTTTATTTCTTAATATTAGTAATTAATGAGGTCCCTTTTAAATGCCATACTATTAACTGAAGAATTAGTTGACATGAAAGATCAATATGTTAGCCTGTGTGTACCATTGCTATATTGTTTTGACAAACAAATTAAAAGGTTTCCTTAATTACAACTTTGTACAGTGTATTAACATGTACATGTATGTTAGTACAGGTAAAATGGATAATTGTTGAAGTACAGTGAATCAATGCTAGTCATGATAAAATGATACTTTAATATTTGTACATAATATCTACATCAGCAATACGGTCAGTTTAAATCTCACTTTTTATTTCTTCATTGAAATTAAATTATTTGTCCAGTCATATGTACATGTACCGATCACAAATGAAATACAAACATAACTTATGCACATATATATATATATTTTCAATGCATTAGCAATTCTGTTTATACTCTCATTAATTGTACATATGGAATGAGTCTAAAATGAAAAATAATACAGTTTTTGATAATGACATGATTTTAAGTGAAACACAAGTCATTGGAAATTAAATTAGACTACAATAAATTCCTAATGTACTATGTACCTGCCCAGGATCTTTAAGTGCCTTATCCCGCTGATAACACATGGACAGTATATATATTAAATATTCCAACAATGTTATAACTTGTGTTCATTTCAATTGGACAGGAAAACAACCCTGTAACTAGAGTTTTGATAAATACCAGCAGTTAAGCACCAATTTATATTAGAACTCTATACTCTAGGTACTCTATCTAAGTACAGTACTTGGTTTATGATTAGTTCAGTTTTGTCTAAGACTCTAATTAAATTTTAAACTTTATAATCAGCGAAGAGGTCTGAAAGTCTAGTTGAGTATATACATACTGGGTTTATAATCAACTGAGGTGTTTGACACTAGTTGAGTACTGGGTTTATGATCAACTGAGGTGTTTGGCACTAGTTGAGTACCAGGTTTATGATCAACTGAGGTGTTTGGCACTTGTTGAGTACCAGGTTTATGATCAACTGAGGTGTTTGACACTAGTTGAGTACCGGGTTTATGATCAACTGAGGTGTTTGGCACTTGTTGAGTACCAGGTTTATGATCAACTGAGGTGTTTGACACTAGTTGAGTACCAGGTTTATGATCAACTGAGGTGTTTGGCACTTGTTGAGTACCAGGTTTATGATCAACTGAGGTGTTTGACACTAGTTGAGTACCGGGTTTATGATCAACTGAGGTGTTTGGCACTTGTTGAGTACCAGGTTTATGATCAACTGAGGTGTTTGACACTAGTTGAGTACCAGGTTTATGATCAACTGAGGTGTTTGGCACTTGTTGAGTACCAGGTTTATGATCAACTGAGGTGTTTGACACTAGTTGAGTACCGGGTTTATGATCAACTGAGGTGTTTGGCACTTGTTGAGTACCAGGTTTATGATCAACTGAGGTGTTTGACACTAGTTGAGTACCAGGTTTATGATCAACTGAGGTGTTTGGCACTTGTTGAGTACCAGGTTTATGATCAACTGAGGTGTTTGACACTAGTTGAGTACCGGGTTTATGATCAACTGAGGTGTTTGGCACTTGTTGAGTACCAGGTTTATGATCAACTGAGGTGTTTGACACTAGTTGAGTACCAGGTTTATGATCAACTGAGGTGTTTGGCACTTGTTGAGTACCAGGTTTATGATCAACTGAGGTGTTTGACACTAGTTGAGTACCAGGTTTATGATCAACTGAGGTGTTTGGCACTTGTTGAGTACCAGGTTTATGATCAACTGAGGTGTTTGGCACTTGTTGAGTACCGGGTTTATGATCAACTGAGGTGTTTGACACTAGTTGAGTACCAGGTTTATGATCAACTGAGGTGTTTGGCACTTGTTGAGTACCAGGTTTATGATCAACTGAGGTGTTTGGCACTTGTTGAGTACCAGGTTTATGATCAACTGAGGTGTTTGACACTAGTTGAGTACCGGGTTTATGATCAACTGAGGTGTTTGGCACTTGTTGAGTACCGGGTTTATGATCAACTGAGGTGTTTGGCACTTGTTGAGTACCAGGTTTATGATCAACTGATGTGTTTGACACTAGTTGAGTACCGGGTTTATGATCAACTGAGGTGTTTGACACTAGTTGAGTTCCAGGTTTATGATCAACTGAGGTGTTTGGCACTTGTTGAGTACTGGGTTTATGATCAACTGAGGTGTTTGGCACTTGTTGAGTACTGGGTTTATGATCAACTGAGGTGTTTGGCACTTGGTGAGTACCAGGTTTATGATCAACTGAGGTGTTTGACACTAGTTGAGTACCAGGTTTATGAAAAGTAGCATGAAAGGTAGCTTGGTGTTTATAACGCCGATTAATTAATGATTGATTGATTGGAGTCAACAAGCCCATGAAGGTCTCCCTACGTTTGGTGGACGAATCCTGCAGATTCCGATGCCAGAGAATCGCCGATCAACTTATGTTTCGACATCCCGGCAATTTTCTCATAATTATGAAAATGTAGTTTTTCAATTATAGGCTCCGTTCCATGTTAGTTTTGTGTTTTTTTTTTTACCAAATCGCTAAGCCTAGTGTGCATGCTTTTTTCCCGGCTCACTTTCATGTTGACGTGATCGATAACCTCGTGAATTATTTCAATATTATGAAGCATCATAAAAATAGTGTATTCTGCTTTTATTTTTTTCCTTCGAGTAGATTTGAAGGGGATGTGTTGAATGTCCACGCTTCTAGTATAATTTTTTTTTTTATAATCCCTTTATGGTCAAATCAGTCTGTAGTTCTAACATTGCAATAGGTCTTCACGCCACGTGTTCACATGTTGAGGAGTGAAAACAACACGGTCTCTCGATCGCGACTGCAAATAATTTCGCCAAATCAGCATTCATGACCACAAATTATCAATTTTAATCATTTAAGAGAAGGGAAAAATTGTGTTGCCAAAGAATTTCATTCTTTGTTGTTATTTTAATCTTCAATCTTATCATATATGACCGACGACTCAAAATAAAACTCTTTGAAGGAGAGTAATCCAATATGGCCAACTAGAGACTCGAGAACGTTAAACCAAGAATGACTTGTTCCTGCGTATAGTGTGCACCCCCTTTTTGACATGACAATATTTACCTAAAAAAGTGCGCATTATACGCGCAAAATTACGGTAATTAATATAACTTACAATAAATAATGAAATACTACAGTATATATGTATCAGCACTTAATATGTATATAATATAAATGATAAATAATGAAATATAATCTTTATCTATATACTTTTAAACTTACAATGAATTAATAATGAAATAGTATCATATTAACTAGTAGACATATATCAT